TCTTCTGCAACTCAAAGAAGTCTGAACTAGTGCAAAAAAAAATATGCGACTCCCATCCTCTAAGCTCATACCACTTTTGAATTGAAGAGGGATTTAATATGGTGTCTATGAAGTCGCAGTAATTACTCAGTCACGCCACACAGTGAAGCAAGGTAGTCAGAGAACTCAAACATGATATGGAAACTTGGAAAGTTTTCATCATTGCTGATACGAAATGTAGAGGTTTATAAGTGGTTTCATTGGTTTTCTCGTACAATTTTCTAGAAGTATCCCTCAAAATGTATTATGTGGCAAAATAGGCATCAATTACGCGGTCTTTAGTAAAAAAAAAAGTATGTCCGGCATCTCTCAGAGGATCGTTCCACTGTGAGCCGCTTGCATCCGGAAGTCTCGCGGCTTTATGCTCATTAAAAATGTTGCCAATGGACTACCGTACACGGACTGAGGATTAGAGCATAATACGAAACTTACTTTTTCCCAACAAAATCTCATACGAGACAGAACGTACCACGATCGCCTTCAAAATGACGAGTATACAGACATGCCAACTGCCATGTTTGAATGATTATCGGCGGCGAAATCGCAGGGTCTTGCAACTTAATCGCACTGTTTTAGTGGACAAACGAAAACACGTGGTTTTGTATTTTCCAGGAGCGATTCTTGAAGGGTAGCAACTCTTTTTTTTCCACTTCAATACATCTATAAATAATCGGTTTTAGATGAAACACCCTTCCTCAATATATTTTGATTGTTTTTCACGCGTTAAAATGGACAGTATCCAGTTTTACCAGGTTGAATCATTGGTGATCGAGGAGCTTTGGGGCTGACGACTTTGCCAAGTATGGTGACTGGACGTTATCATGCAAAGAAAGTGTATTTACAGAGGGAAACTGCTTCAGTAATACTTGTTTTGCGCAAAGACATACAATCAAGAGTTACAGGTTATTATGGGATGTGTAAACATACAGTCCACGCTCTGGCCTCAAGGGTCCAACATTACGACTTCCAAATCTGGAGCATGGGCAAATTTAGCCCGTAATACAGCTCTCGCAACCCTAAAGAGTTTTCCCGGACGGGAGTAACCTTGACGTCACCGCATCTTGGCAACGGCCGAGCGCAGGAGAGGACGGAAATAATTAGCGCAACGTCACAGCAACATTGACACAGTAGATACTACCCCATCCACCCCATAAATCCTTACGTGTTATAATGTGCATTTCCGGTGAAATCTTGGCAACTCCGCATTCGAATTTGATTTAATCTATCCAGCTCAGTGCATTTCCGTCAAAACTTTCTTCGTCACGGACGGAATCATTACTTTAATTGACCCGCCTCTCCGGTAATTATTTCTTCCCCCGCCTTTAAGGTGATATTGCTTTCGGCTTTGGGACTTGGGCCTTCAATTTTTCGGTAATCCTTGTAGTATCCGACGTTACCCTGTAAATTTAATGCAATTCGATTAGTTTTAGTTTTAAACCATGTAAGTAGATACAAGGAAATACTTGTAGTAGTTACGTCATATGTAAAGAAACTACTTAAATCGGGGACTAAGGCCGCAAATAATAAAAAGAACACATAAAATAAAATAAAAAGCCTGGGACATTTAGCACGGATCACACCCGCATTTTCAACCGGCAAAAACAAAGAAAAAAGAAAATTAGAAAGAAGGAAACTATGAGCCTCACTGCTGTTATTGTGAGACTGATAGTGCAACCAGAATAAACGAGCAAGTGCAACTTGAAACAAAGCACATCGAAACAGAGATTACTCAGGTGGGTGATTTCACGATAACAGGAATAGTTAAAATATGAAATACCTGAGAAATAAAAGTGCACCAATTTTAACAGGATTTCATTACCTCATTCTAAAGGTATTAAACTTCCTTTTTCCAGCTTTGGCACGCTCTATTTTGATTCAGTGCAAAGTAAATTGATTGATAAACAAGCCATTGAATCAGGTATCAGCGCTTCCCGCGGGACTGCTGGAACGCAAACATGGCGGCCCTGCCAAATTGTGTCGGTTACGTAACAGACACAGCGTAACCGACACTCAAAAATGTGAGATTAAAGATGATACAAAAGATGAAACTTGGCAATTCTTGAGTTATGAGGTGGAATTAATGCTGCCTTAAAAGTTTTCTAGACTTTGGAGACTTCGTTTAAGTTTAATACTATTAAATTGAGGTTTTTGCGTAGTGAGGAATCAGTGCTACACACGTAAAAATCACTGGTTTTCATAATAATTTAAGTTTTCATTGTAAAAAAAACTGACTTATCAGTAATGGTTTTGTCAAGAAGACTTCAGCGAACAATTTGATGGCAGTTTTGAAACTCCTGACTCCATCTGGCGAGATAAACACTGCACTTAATACAACTGCAAAAATTTGTTGCCAAATGTGGCGACATCTCTTTCTTATGACTTTTCTCGCTCAATAATAAACATTTCAGTTCAAACTGGCAATTTTCTTGAACACTAGAGTCTCTTTTCAGCAAATATTGCCAAAAAGTTCATGATCAGTACTGATGTGTTACCGCAAATTGCTCTTTTGCTTCAAAATCGGGGTTGGCGACGCGTAACCGACCGGACATTTTCGGCCTTTAAAGTCTCATATTATTAAATATAATAATAATTCATCATATTTTTTAGCATGGATATGTTCAGGGACATCATTCCTATTGATTAATTAATTTGGTTTTCAATCGTTTTGCCCTATGTCGTTCAGAACCCACGGCGACACGACTATGCCTATTATCGTGAAATCACCCAGGTGTTCCAGCTTCATCTAGATCCCTGCGAAACGACCCGGGCTTTTCATTTTATTTTATGTGTTCTTTTTATTCAGTGGCGCGTGGTGTGCTTTGCGATATATCGATTGTTATGCCATTTAAACCTATGAGAAAGGATCGATAAACAGGGTGTTTGCAGCGAACACCTTGATAGTCGATTATTTACCATAGGTTTAAATGGCATAACAATCGATATACCGCAATTCGCGCCACGCTACTGTATTTTATTATTTGCGGCATTAGTCCCAATTTAAGTTGTTTCTACGTCAGTGTTTCGGGCCGATTAAGTTGTTTCTTCTATCGTTATATTTAAATCAAATTCCCTCACAAAAAATAAAAAATAAAAAATCGGTTTTTACTGACATCATGACCTAGAAATATCGCCGAAAATATTAATAGTGCTGTCAAGGCTGGATTTTCACGCTGTACATATTTTTTTTTTTTTTTAAAAAAAAAAATTAATGCCCATGTTACAATTACACGCAACGGGAGTCTCAGTTCAAGAGAGACGAAGGAAACTGGAATATGACGCTATAATTCTCGCTTGAGCCCATGGTCCATTTCCGGGAGCGCGTCATGGCACCCCTTCTGTCGGCTAATCCTCATAATCGCAGGGCTTTCCCGGCTGCTTATTCCGTTCTTTGACTAATCCTCTGTGGAGAAACTACAAGAGGCGGTGGCGAGTTAGGGATTTGTAACCACCAACGTCACGCAGGTAAACAAAGCCTAACGCCCAGCCAAAACTGGGCATACACATACGAAATTATTCAAACCGTTGTATCCTGCAAGTTTTAAAATATTAATTTCCGCTGATTCCATAATGTGTGCCCCCCCCCCCAAAAAAAAAACCCTAGATATATGAGAAGCGATTTCCATGTATTTTACACCGTTGAGTCCAAAACAGACCTTCCTGTTTTTCATTACACATAATTTCGCCGAAAATCGAGATATCCCTTACACTGATACAAGAAATCGCGGAATAAGACACGTTTTCGGAATGTCCAATTTTTAGCCAAATTGGCAACGACCGGAAAAACTGAAATCATGATCAGTTTTAGCAATGATAAATAGTTTGAGGTTGCTCGATCCGCCATCTATTAAAAATAATTTTCTCGGCTTTTCAGGCGCAAAACTATCGAATCAGTTTTACAGATTGGTATGTGAGCAGACTGTCATACTTATGTTTTCGGCCAAGAGTGCAAAGTTGGTGAAATTTAAATTTCGCGCTACGTTCTCCACGGATAAAAATATTTCGACGGTGAAACTACCAAACCACGTATCTCGGTTTGCGACGTTGTAGACTTCCTGTCATACTTTATTTTTTAAATGGAACACTATTCAACTTCAATTCTTGAAAACTTCCGTGTTTTTTCCCCTCTATGTGACGAAAACTCGGTGAAAATTTCAAGAAATGGTATTGATTTGTTCTCCTTCAAAAAAATAAAATGGGAGCGGCGATTTTTAAACACCGCAAACGGGATACGTGGTCTGGTAGTTTCACCGTCGATTTGTGTTCTTGTGTTACTTTTGGTTAAAATAGGAAGTGAAACACCGAGAGTTACACATTTAATGTTGATTTTGGTACAGTTTGCGGTGAATTCAGCGCAGAAAGCAAAGGAGAGACTATGGGCAAATGCATTCCTCCGATTGCGACGTTGGCATTCACCACTCGTGTTTTTATTAAATTTCTTCAAGCAAACTAGCTGGCATTTTCTCTTGAAATTGTCAAAAGATGGCTAGGGCTATTCCGTGTTTCACTCCTTGTATTAACCAAACTTTTGTGTTGAAAATTTTCTCTGTGCAGCGGCGCAAAGTGAATCAAGTCAATGAGAGAGGTCGGACAAAATTTGGAAACTTTAAAAGCTCATAGCTTCGTTCATACAAAACTTTGAGGTTTTAAAAGTTGTTCCATTGGTTTTCTCGTGAAATTCTCTTGGAATCACCCCTTAAAATTTAAAATGTGACAAATTAAACATCAAAATTTGCAATTTTCGTTAAAAATTTCATGTCCGACTTCTCTGATTGACTCGCTCCACTATGCGGCGGTAGCCGAGAGCCGAGTTCTGGCCAAAAGGGTAGGGCAAAGCATACCTCCGTTTTACTTACCTATACCTTGATGCCAATGTCCTGATTTGACTTTTAATCTATGTTTATTGCCATCTCTTGTTTTCCCTGTATTTTTGAATAACGAGATGCGTTTGCCGATGGTTGCAGTTGCGGTGGTGGTGGCGTTCTTCATCTGCTGGGCGCCGTTCCACGCGCAGCGGCTCTTCGCGACGTACGTGTTCACGGGGGAGTCCTCGTCGCGCTACTCCCACCTCGCCTACGCCGTCCTCACCTACGTCTCCGGCGTCTTCTACTACATCTCCACCACCATCAACCCCATCCTCTACCACATCATGTCCAACAAGTTCCGCGAGGCCTTCAAGGTAATAACCACGCATTTCCACTATTGGATTGCATTTTGCAAAAAGGAACCAACATAGCATTGCAATGTAGCTAAGATTGCGCAACTTCATCCTTTGCAAAACTAGTACTATATGCAAAAATATGACATTTACATGGTAATTTTTGTCTTAAATTTATAGTTTATAAGGTGTGGAACAGAAATCATTCACAGATGATCAGGTTTTTCTTTTAAGACGAAAGAAGTAGGAGAATCTTAGCAAAATTGCAATGCTCCTGGTTCCTTTTTGCAAAATGCAATTCTATTCACCTCGAGCCCAGTATCATAATGTCACCAACCCATAGGCGTATCCAAGGAAAAGGGGGTAGGGGGCTTACGCACCCCCTATTTGCCCGAAAATATGAGGAAGGAAAAGGGGAAAAGATAAAAGGAAGGAACGGAATAAGGAAGATGAGAGGACTCTTAGATTTGGTAATCATTCATGGCTAAATTGACACAAACTGTCTAATAGATGCTTTAAAATGTTAAAAATTATCTGGGGAGCCCCTCGGACCCCCCTCTCCTTCGCACTCTCTCCCCGTTTGAAGTATCTGGATCTGCCAATGCAACAACCTGAAGGCTCAAAATTGTAACTGATAAACAAAGCGATAAACGACTAATACAATTAAAGGGAAAATGGATCGATCCTATCGGTGGAAGCGAGTGGTTGAAATGTAGAAAGGAGGTAAGTGATATAGGCTAACGAAGGGCAACTCATAAGAGACCCACCATTCCATACTTTTTTCCCCTTAATCTAACAACCACCCGTTACAACCGATAGGACCGCTCCATTTTTCCACTGTCTTCTTTGTCTATAGCTTTATCTATCAATTTCAATAATTAGTCTGCTGGATCAGCCGTCCCGTTCGGATGGATTTATGTTAATAGGAACTATGTGCAAATGAATTTAATCATGCAAAAGGAACTATGTACCATGCAACCCTATGCACAACGTACGTGGTTCCTTTTGATTTCATTCATTTTTTGATAGTTCTTAGTAACAAAAATTCCATTTTGAAGACTCCCGCGTCGAGCTCAATACTTTCTAACTTTTATACTAAGAGGAAGATTACGATGTCTAAATAATCGCATCGAAAGTTGTTTAAAATTTCAAAGGATCAAATCTTAAAAAAATCCACAAAAAATTTCGAAAGAATATTCGTAACTGTTCTGAAGTAAGTAAATCAATTAATTACAAGGTGAAACTTTGCAACGTTGCAATGCAATGAAGCCCTTTTGCAATTATCTACCCAGAAATTGAGCCAAACCATCTGCAAGGACTCCCGCCCTTTGTTAAGCCTCAGAGTATCAAGTGAATAATTTTGCCTAGGTTGGCCTACTGGTCGGCGTATCCAACTCTAGATCAATAAGTCCCGGGTGCGGAGCCTGTGGTGGCGGGCGGGAAATTTTCATGGAATTGACGAGTGGGTCTGCTGGACAGATTCCTTTCGGCCCCAATCCCCGAGAACGTACAAAGCTTAGAGGGCAGATGCGCCAATATTCTCTACCCTGATAAAAATTGACAGTAGAATGTGTGTTTCAAAATACTATAGACTTAAAGCCGGCTGTAAGATTTCCAATAATTTCTGCAGCCGGGCTGTACAATTTCTTATAGCCTTTTATAGCCGATGGTGATTAAGCAACAGACAGACGATAAAGTTTATGCTAAACATCACTAAATACGGATACTAGGACTTAGTTTGTTTTTGGACTACTGCTCTCTTTTTGTGCCGTAGTATCTTGATTTATTTTGCGAGGAAAGCTCCGTACTTTTGAAGGATGCCTGTCATTCTTAATATGTTGGAGTACCTTCAATTTCTTATGATACTGTGCAATACCTCTGGTGTGAAATAGTTGCTTCAGACGCCGCACACTGTGGTATTTGACCGAAAAACCTGGCCAAAACCTCAATTTTAATTTTTTTTTTATTGGAAAACCAATGTGATATTCGAAATCTACACTGTTTTTTACCCTGGTAGACATGTATATACCATTTTTCGAGTGGCTCAATTTCCCGCGAGGAGACCACAAAGTTACCTAATTCTCAGCGATTATTTTGATATGTTTTGGCGCGCTACTTGTCGATCAGTTTACTTCAACTGTGCGGCCATAAAAGGGAACTTCGGGGATGTGCAACACATTCTTAGGGGTATATTCTACACAACTAACCATAGTATTTTCGAAATTTCCTTTTTTAGTGATTTTCACAGGAGGTTAAAAAGTGATGTAAAAGTAAACGTTTTTTTCGAAATTCAGAGTCCGATTTCTTTTTGCGCTCAACTGCGCTCAAGCGGTTTGAGGCGGAATGTTATAGTCCAAAGTGGGTATTTTCAGGATTCAGGGTTGACAGACTGAGGAAAACTGAGGAAATTGAAATTTTTGACCTTAAAGATGGACTTTTGAGCGATTTTCACAAATATGAATGGGAAAAATTATGTCGATACTAACGACTGAAATTGTATTTTTCCAACAGCTCTGACCCATTTAGTACCAAATTAGGTGATATTTGGTCACACAACCTGTTTCTCTGGCCCCTACGCCCTCGAAAGAGGGATAAAAAAATTAATTTGAAAGCGGATGGGAGGGTCACTTTAAAGTCTTGCAAAAGTGTTTAATCCGTTATCTAACAATCTCTTCGTGCATTATCCTTGAGTATAGACATATTTATGCCATGTTTTACTTTTACAGACAAATTTGAGTCCATGCGGCCGCGGGGTGGGGCTTTAAAAGTGGCCCTCTGGCACCATGAAATTACGCTGAGAGGCACATTTTTGAAGCCTCGTAAAAGTGAGATATGTGGTTTTGTTACGAATTTCGTAGTGAAGTGCCCTCACTTTGAGATGTGGACCATGGGTTAGGAAGGAACCCATCAAAATGAATCATTTTCACAGGTGCTTTCTGCCCTTACAATCATTCTTATTATGATAAAACTCATTTTCATCTTATAATTTAACCTCAAATCATCATATGGAGGTCCCGGCACTTTCACACTAGCACTAATTTTGATTCAAAACTGTCAAAAATCTAAGAATGATTCATATTACTTTTTTTGAGAAATGTACAATTACTCCTCAATGTGAGAGATCGGCTGTTTCGTCAAAAATTTTGAAGTGACTTACGCTGTTTTAATAAAAACTATAAATGAGGTACTAGAAAGTCCTTATTTCGAAAAGTAGACCATAGGTGAAGGAAAAACTCGTCTAAATGCACCGCTTTAGTCAGATACTTTGCGTCCTTATAAAGGCTTTTTGGAGGGCTACTTGCACCCTCTTCATAAACTCTCCGCAAATTGCCATATGATGTGTTAGGTGGTTAAATTGTGCATATTATCACTTAAGAAGAAGTACTGATTGTAAAATATTTTCAAAACTCAGCGATATCTGGTGATAAATAGTTTTGGCCAGCTTTTCAGGTCCAATACCACAGTGTGCGCCGTGGCACGCTGCGGCGCGGCGGGCGGGCAGAGAGCGCGAAACGCGCATTGGCGCCTACAAACCTAACAGGGATACTTCACGCATTGCGCAATGCGTGAAGTATCCCTGTTAGGTTTGTAGGCGCCTGTGCGTCGCCGCGCAATGCGTGAAGTATCCCTGTTAGGTTTGTAGGCGCCATTGCGTCGCCGCTCCGCTTTGTGTTAGGCTCTAATATTTAATCGCTCGGAGTCAGCGTTTTTCAACTCATGATTTTGAAATGTTTGCACACTCTGTANTAGGAACTATAGCCCGACTGTATACTTTTTTATAGCTTCGTATAGCCCGGCTATTTGATTTGCTCCGCTTTCTACAGCCAGCTATATGATTTTCAATAGCCTTCTTTAGTCGGTTATAAGAACTCCTATGGTATTTTGAAACGCAGCTCGTATCGCCAATTTTCACCAGGGTAACATCTCTTATACTTACAGTTTACTGGTACCTGTAGGCTCCTGAGAAAGAATGAGCCGAATAATTAGTTGAGAAATTGAGTAACTTTCAGACCTAAAGTATGAAAATTCTGCTCATATATTCAGCCCTACATCTGCACAGAGAATTTGAACAATTACAGCAACGAATCTTCCACAATTCAATCATCATTGCGGCCATCATGACCTCTTTAAAATCTAAGGAACGGTTATTCCTAACCAGATCAGTCTGCTACTAACCAATAGGGTTGCTCCATTTTTCTGCTGCCTTCTTTGCCTATAGCGTTGTCTATCAATTTTAATAATTAACCCGCTGGATTAGCCACCACATTTGAACGTAATTCTTATTTACAGGAACTATGTGCAAATGAATTTAATCATGCAAAAGGAACTATGTACCGCGCAAAGCCTATGCACAACGATCGTAGTGTACACACACACACGTAGTATTCTCACAAAATCAACGTAAGACCAGCGGGCCGATTATTGAAATTGATAGACAAAGCTATAGACAAGAAGACATAGGGAGTATGAAGCTATCCCATATCGGTTGAAATGGGTCGTTCTCATAGACTAAGGGAGAAAATGATGGACCAACGATCGGGCCCCTCGTAAGTTGCCGTTACTTAATCTATTACTTACCCTCTTTGTCCATTGCAACCACTCGCTTCCACCAATAGGATCTCTCCATATACCTTTTGTCTTCTTTGCCTATGGCGTTGTCTATCAATTTCAATAATCGGCCCGCAGACGGCTGCAATCCAGTGAATCGATCATTGAAACTGCACCGCTCTTGCGTCCGATTACACTATCAATAAAACCCTCCCTTGCAATTTCCGATGATTGGCCAACGAATCCCTGCGGATTTATTGTTAATGCAAGGTGGGCTACTAGGTAATTAACATATTCCAGTGATGTGATAGAGCTGCAGTTGATATTTCACCGCAGAATGAGAAGATAGTATCTGGTGGTAGTTTCAAAACTACATTTCCGAGATCTGAAATTAATATTCACACGGAGAAGGGGCTTCCGTGGCTGTCGGCAACCTGACATGCGGAACATGGAAATCTCTTAGCCGGTTATAA